TCTTGCCTGCATGCGGTGCGCGGTTGGGGCGTGTGTCTCTGATCCGGGAGACCCCTGGTTTATCCTGGCTGCCGTCTGAGAGGGAGGAACCCACAGAGCCGGATGGCCCCCATCTCCTTGCCTTTTTCTTTTTAAAATGTTAAACTGTTTATTGGAGATTGAAATGAAACACAGTGCGGTACTTGGTAAAGCGTGAATGAAAGACGATTACGAAGCAATCACTCAGTCGGCGGCGAATCCAGGATTGCCGTTACAAGTTTATTTGCCAGTTTTGAGCTGATCGTTCAAATAATTAAACATAAAAATAAATGGGGTTCCAGCCAGTGTTAAAGATCATAGAATCATAGAATGTTAGAGTTGGAAGGGACCTTGCAGGTCATCTAGTCCAGCCGCCTGCACTCTGCAGGAGCACAGCCGAAAGAGAGCCCTACAACATACTTCGACTACTTAATGGTTAACGATATAAGGTGTGTGAATCAATTAAGGGTGCTTTCTGTAATGTTCCTTCCGAGTCAGCAAAAGCAGGTAGCCATGATGACCATTTGGGCATAAATCAGTGTTCCCTCTAAGCTGCTTTAGTGTGAGCCAGCTCACAGTTTTTTTAGCCTCCGGCTCACACGTTGTTTTGTCTTTGCTCAGGAAGGAGGGCTCCAGAGCAAACTGATTTATGCAGGAGCCAGATCGCTCGCTCACAGCTTTAATGCCAGCAGCTCGCAAAGTAGGGTTTTTGCTCACAAGACTCCACAGCTTAGTGGGAGCATTGGTCATAATACTAGCAGAGGTCACCTGTCTATCTTGCTGCGCAATCCATGATCGATTATTTTTTTTAAATCAAAAGTGCAAAACGTGACACCGCGCCCCGACGATTGCATTCTGAGCGTTTCTCTTTTGAAAGGGGGTTCCGTTCTGGCCGCCTCTGCCGGTCCCTCTGAGTCCCTGCGCGAAATGAATAACAATAGAAATGGGGGTGGGGCAGGCCCGGGGCACTGCCCGCTCACACTTCCGCCTGCCGTTCGTATCCCCTCGGTGGCCACTCTCTCCCGCATCTGGCGTCTGAGTGGTGACCTCGCCGCGGAAGTAGGGATTAATTCCAACGGGACGGGGCTTTAATCGCCTACAATCGCCTTCTCGCTGTCGCTAAATCCTTGCGAGGGTCGGGAAGGGGGGGGAGGGTGCTCCCCCCTCCCCCATCCGTCTTCCCGCTAATGTCATTTCCCCAGGTCCCTTTTGGCACTGGTTGTAGGTCTTTAAGGCAGGGCAATGTCAGCGGTGGGGAGGGTAAGGGGTGGTGGGCTGGAGTCATTCCTGAGCATCCTTTGTGGGGGTGGGGTCGTGAATTGGTGAGTCTGGGGGCTGGGATTTGAGACAGGGCAAAGAAGCACAAGAGGCATTGTGGATCGGGGAGAGGAGAGTCGTTGGAGGTCTCCGGGGCTCCTGTGCGCTGCTGGAAGCGCACGACACCGGGGCCTTGGGAGCACGGGCCAGAAAACTCGCACTTCTTTACAGCAGATTAGTCTAGCCAGACGATGACTGTCTGGCTGATCCCCGACTCGTAATCGCTGCTGGCGTTCGGAAATCCAGCTTTTCCCCTTAAACGTGCCTTTGGCAGAACCGAGAACGCTTGCACCGACATTAGATGGGTGTAAAGCGACGTCAAGTCACAGCCGACTTAAGAGCAACCCTGTAGGGTTTCCCAGGCACAAGATGGACAGAGGTGGTTTGCCACTGCCCTGTCTCTGCGTAGCGACCCTGGAATTCCTCGGTGGCCTCACATCCGAGTACTAACCAGGGCTGACCCTGCTTAGTTTCTGAGATATGATGAGATTGGGTCATCCTGGGCTGTCCAGGTAAAGGCAAGGGACGAACGGAGGTGGTTTGCCATTGCCTGCCTCTGCGTAGCAACCCTGGACTTCCTTGGTGGTGTCCCATCCAAGTACTAACTGAGGCTGACCCTGCTTAGCTTCCAAGATCTGTAGAGATCGGTCTAGCCTGGGCCCATCCAGTTCAGGGCAGAAGACATACAGAGGTGGTTTCCCATTGCCTGCCTTGGTATAGGAACCCCGGAATTCTTTCGTGGTCTCCCATCCAAGGACCGACTCCGCTTAACTTCCGAGATCTGATGAGACCAGACTAGTCTGGGCGATAGCGTTGCTGCGGAGGAAGGCTGCAACCGATGCTCCCTCTAAGCTGTGGAGTCTTCTGAGCAAAAATTCCACTTTACGAGCTCCCGGCGTTAAAGTTGTGAGCGAGCGATTGGGCTCCTGGCTAAATTAGTTTGCTCTGGAGCCATCCCCTTCCCCTCCTGTGCCGAGACGAAAATGTGTGAGCTGGAAGCTAAAAAACTGAGCCTAGCTTCCAGGTCTCTTCTTACCTGTGGCAGGGGGCTCCCAGCTTCTCATTGGGGTCTCCCGGCTCCTTGTCCTCATCATTACACAAGGGCCGTCACACGGTAACATTCTACTGTTCAGGGCAAAAACTCTATGGCAGAGGTGTCAAACTCATTTCTTATAAGGGCCGTATCTGACAGAAATGTCACTTTGTCGGGCTGGGCCATGTATATGTAAACTTTATAAAGGACACAGGCAAAGCAAATTAACTATATTATTTTTAAGTCTAAATACAAACATGCTTTAAATATAAGAGCAAAAGCATTGCCTTGCTTTAAATCTACCTTAAATATAAGAGCAAAAGCAGAGCCTTGCTTTAAATATACTTTAAATATAAGAGCAAAAGCAGAGCCTCGCGGGATCAGACCAGTGGTCCATCTAGTCCAGCATCCTGTCTCACACCGTGGCCAATCAGTTCCTCTGAGTCTGCACAATATTTCAAATGAGACCGCCCCATAGATCTATCAAAGGGCATTACAATATCAGCTGTTTCATTCTCAATCCCTTTCCTAATCATCCCTAACTTAAGAGTTTGCCTTCCCCCCCCTGCAGAAACGCACTGAGTTAGAACATAAGAGAAGCTAGGAGAAGCCCATCCAGTCCAACACTCTGTGTCACATGGTGGCCAAAGCCCAGTTGCCATCAGGAGGTCCACCAGCAGGGCCAGAACTTCAAAAGCCCCCCAACACACCCAGAATACAGAGCATCACTGCCCCAGACATAAGAACACAAGAGAAGCCATGTTGGATCAGGTCAATGGCCCACCCAGTCCAACACTCTGTGTCACACAGTGGCCAAAACCCAGGGGCCATCAGAAGGTTCATGTCTCTGGGTCCTGCCAGATCCCTGAGAGCTAGCGCTCGAGTATTCTGTGTTACGCTGATGAACCTTCTTCTTTCTTCTTTTGTCTAGGATCCGGCCATGTCCCTAGGCCGCCTGCTGCTATCCCTCGCGGTGGCGCTGACGCTCCTGTTGCCCTTGTACCCGGCTGCCCGTCCCCCTGCCTACCCGTCCTTCTTGTTTCCCAACACCAGCTTCAATCACCTAGCCCGAGCCCGGGTTACGGGGACGCTGTACGTGGGTGCCGTCAACGCCTTGTTCCAGCTGAGTCCCGAGCTCGCGTTGGCGGAGCACGTGGCCACCGGGCCAGCCAGCGATAGCCCCGAGTGCCTTCCTTTCCGGGACCCCCACGACTGCCCCCAGGCGCGGTCCACGGACAACACGAACAAGCTGCTGTTGCCCAATGAGCACACTGGGGAGCTGGTGGTCTGTGGGCAACTCTTCCAGGGGGTGTGCGAGAAGAGAGCCCTGGCCAACATCTCCAGAGTGCTGTATCGCCCCGAGGATCCTGGCGACAACCAGTTCGTGGCGGCCAACGAGCCGCGGGTCTCCACCGTGGGCCTGGTGGGCCAGCACGCTGGCCGAGACCTGCTTTTCGTGGGGCGCGGGCTGACGGCCAAGCTCTCTGGGGGGATCCCGCCGTTCACCATCCGTCAGCTGGAAGGGCCCCAGGCGTTCTCCAACGAGGGAATGGGCAAGCTGGTGGTGGGCGACTTCTCGGACTACAACAACACCTACGCCGGCGCCTTTGCTTCCGGGGACTACGTCTACTTCCTGTTCTCCCGGCGAGGGGCCAAGGCGCAGATGGAGTATCGTGCCTACCTCTCTCGGAGCTGCGTGGAGGACACCAACCTCTACTCCTACGTGGAGCTCCCCCTGGAGTGCCGGGATGCCAAAGGGCGCGTTTACAACCTGGCGCGGGCCGTGCATTTGGACGCCGGGTTCCCGGGCGAAGGGGCGACGCTGTTCGTCGTCCTGGCTGCCGGGCAAGGCTCCACGGCGTCCCCGACGGCCCAGACGGCACTGTGCGCGTACAGCTTAAGTGAGGTCAACGCCGCCATGGAGCGGACGCGGCGCCTGTGCTACACCTCGGCCGGGAAGGGCCCCACCGGGAAGGAGGAGGCGGCCATAGAGTACGGCGTGACGTCCCACTGCAACTTGCTACCCAAGGTGAGAGCGGGTGGCTGTCGAAGGCTTCCCTCATCCGGGACGAGGAGCTGGTTAGAACAGCTGCCCTGCCCCAGAGGCGGTTGCATACCAGACTTTTCTGCTTTCATCTGGCGTGTTTGCTTTAATTTTCAGGAATCTCCCGAGGCTTACCCCTGTGGTGACGAACACACTCCTAGCCCCATCGCCAGCCGGGTGCCAGTGGTGGCGGAAGCTCTACTAACCACCATACCGAGGCTGACGGCTGTGGCGGCCATGGGAGAAGCAGGTCATACGATCGCCTTTCTTGGGGATGGCATGGGGCGGTTGCACAAGGTGAGGAAGGGTTGTTCACGGTCTGGTTGATCCCGTTTCATGTGCACGTTTTGTCTTCCTCAGTGGTGGTTGTGCATGAAAATCACACAAGGGTTTCTCTTGCCTTGTGTGCTTTTGTTTGGAAGAAGGTGGTGGCTTTCCAGTTCGGCGTAGTAGTTAGGAGCGTAGACTCTAATCTGGGAGAATCGTGTTTGAGTCCCCACTCTTCCACATGCAGCTGCTGGTGTGACCTTGGGTCAGTCACAAGTTCTCGCAGAGCTGTTCTCTCAGGAGCAGTCCTCGAAAGAGCTCTCTCAGCCCCACCTACCTCACAGGGTGTCTGTTGTGGGGAGGGGGAGGGAAAGGAGTTTGTGAGCTGCTCTGAGACGCCTTTGGGTAGTGAAGGGTGGGGTATAAATCCCATCTCTTCTTCCTCTTCTTTTACCTCACAGAGTGTCTGTGGTGGGGAGGGGAAGGGAAAGGAGTTTGTAAGCCGCTCTGAGACTCCTTTGGGTAGTGAAGGGCGGGGTATAAATCCAATCTCTTCTTCTTCTTCTTTTACCTCACAGGGTGCCTGTTGTGGGGAGGGGAAGGGAAAGGAGTTTGTAAGCCGCTCTGAGACACCTTTGGGTAGTGAAGGGCGGGGTATAAATCCAATCTCTTCTTCTTCTTCTTTTACCTCACAGGGTGTCTGTGGTGGGGAGGGGAGGGGAAAGGAGTTGTGAGCCACTCTGAGACTCCTTTGGGTAGTGAAGGGCGGGGTATTAATCCAATCTTTTCTTCTTCTTCTTCTTTTATCTCACAGGGTGTCTGTTGTGGGGAGGGGAAGGGAAAGGAGTTTGTAAGTCTCCTTCGGGTAGTGAAAGGTGGGGTATAAATCCAATCTCTTCTTCGTGTATATAGGCACGTGTGCTATTTTTTCCTTATTTATTAATTTTTATTTCTATTGTTAATTGCTGTATTAATTTTTCAAAAACATGTACCGTCCTCTTAGCCTTCTGAATCTTTTGCACACCATGAAGTCTTATCCCCAAATGTGGGAAGCTTGTATGGTTGCCACCCCTGGGTTGGAAATTCCTGGAGATTTGAGAGTGGGGTTTAGGGAGGGGAGGGATCTTGGTAGGTAATAATGCCGTGTGACCCATTTTCTGAAGTAGCCATTTTCTCCGGGAGAAGTTGAATAAGTGCTTGTAATAAATCAGAGGTTGATGTCGCCTGGAGGTCTGTTGTAATTTCAGGAGATCTCCAGCCTCTGCCTGGAGGTTGGCAAGCCTAGGAGGTTGGTTGTGAAAGAGTCACTCTGCGCATGCTCAGAGCTTCTCTTTGTTGCTGGAAACTCTTACCTGAGGTTATACTGGACCCCCTCTTGGAAAGCAGTGTCGTACACGGCTTTCCTAACCAAAAAGGCCTTCTGTATGGACCATGTGGGTGCGTGTTTTTGTTTGTTTCCGTGTGGGAAACTAATTTCCTTTCAGGTATCATTTTGAAGGGCAGCAACCTCTTCAGAGCACTTACCAGCAGGGTCATTTCTAGAAAAAGAGGTGCAGGAGCTCATTAGCATAATTTATTAGCATAATTTATTTGCATATGCCACACCCCTTGATGTCACCGGAAGTGTGTCAGAAGGCAACACCCACTGCTCAGGCTCCACTGGACTGTTTTGGATTGCTAGCTATTGGGGGGAAAGACGTGCAGATCTGTCCTTGCAGAGGAGGGAGAGCTTGTACCTGAATAAAAATTGGTCTTAAAGGTGCCACTGGACTCTGGAGTGCGAGAGGGGGGGGGGGGGGGAACGCGCAGATTTGCCCTCACAGACGAGGGAGAGCTTGTGCCTGAAGGCGGGCAGGGGGGCCCCTCGGGCGGGGCCCCCCTCTGCAACTTACCTGGCTGCTTCTTGCTCCTTGTGGCCCGACTGAGGGCTGCTGGGAACAGGGGGTGGGCCTTGTTGCATGTGCCCGCCCCCTGGGCACCTTACTGCCGGAGCTCCACTCCTCTGCGCTCCCGCAGGAAATGACCCCTGCTTACCAGGAACTGTTTTCTACATCGTTCTCGAAGTTTTTTTACTTCCTAAGGTGCTTTCAGATCAAACACTGCCCTGCTTTTGTTTGAAGGATGGGGGGGACGTGCCCCCGTAGTGGGTTTACATTTCCGTAGGTCAATGTTTGGGGTCCTCTAGGTGGGGCATTGGCCCTGGCGCTTGGGGCAAAAGCAGAACCCAAAAGTCCTAGCCGCCTGCTCCTTTTTGCTCATAAATCTCCAAGGTTTGAAACTTGGGGTGAGTTGTTCTGCATCTTCTTCCCCCGTAACCCAGAAGGGTTTTCTGGGATCGCTCGGCAGAGGTTTATTGGTCCTAGTGGTGGCTCAGGGATCGAAGGTGGTGTGTTTAATTTATGAGTTTATAGAAGCCGCAGAATTCAGTAGCTCAGAGAGGCTGCATCTTGAGAATCGTGTGCCTGTCTGTTTAAAGCCGGTTTCTAGCCTCATGTCTATGGAAAAATATGTTTTTAATTGGGTGGGCACTGCACGGTCAGATCCTGAAACGAGACCGATGGACAGGGTTTGTCCAGTAAATAAAGGATGGCCCTTCAATATCCTCCGTAGCTGAACACTTTGCTCGATACCTTGGGCAGACGAAGGAAAAATGCCCGCCTTTGTTTACCCACTGCGCCAACGTGAAGCCCTTCCGCTCCCCAAACCCCACCCTCCTCAGGCCCCACCCTCAAAACCCACAGCTGGCCACCCTAGCTGAATACGTTCAGCAATTAATCCGTTGAATTGTCTGCTACTTTTTAAAAAAGTTAACCTAAGTGCCTTTGGGAGATATTGAAGGAAGCGTGCCAGAGCTTCACGGTTGTTTCCCCCCCCCCAAAAAAACCCAAAACCATAAACGGCATTTTTCGCCGAAGGGTCTTGTTTAATAATATTGTTGTCTTTCTGTTCTGCAACACCCAGGGAACCCGAGTAGTACATAAGATCCCATAGAAGGCATCTGCGTGGGTTCCAGCAGTGGAAATAAACTTGGAAACGCGTGGGCCGCGTCTGATGAAATCAGAAGCCGGTCTGGGGCAGAGCGTGGCTTCCAGCAGTGTAGGAGTGCCGTGCTTCAGCGCTCATTGTTTCTCCTCACGGAATATTTTCTCCATCTCTCTACTTCCCCTCCCTGTTTTCGCCGACTGAGACCCACAACAGTTCAAGGGGTGTGTGTGTGCACGTGTGCGTGTGGAGGGAGGAGAACTGGCTTCAGGGAACCGGGGTCCTTTTCCTTCTCCTCCTGGTCTTTTGAATCAATGAAGGAACATTCCCTCACGTCCCTTCAGGTGTTGGGAGAACGTGTACCCAAAGGGTAGATATCTTTCAAGGTTAATTCTCCCTCCGCCGCCTTTCGGCCCCAGGATGGAAAGAAGTAAGCGGTAGGCCTTTTGTTTCTCTTTAGCCGCCCACGTTCCCAAGTCTTCGTGAGCGGGACTTCGGCAAAATGAGTTGTGTGTGGTTTTTCCCCCGTATCAGCTTTTTGTGGTGAGGGTTAACTGCCTGATACTTTGGGGTCTTTCTGAGGTTGTATCTTTCTATTTTCTTCCGTTTTGGGGTCTTTCTGAGGTTGTATCTTTCTATTTTCTTCCGTTTCGGAAGGGACTCACGTCTGGGTCATGGTCTTTTTCTGCTTGGTTTCCACACGCGGGGACGCCGTTGGTGCTACTTTTGGAAATGGGAAATCCCCCCCCCCCCCCCATGGACGGCAACTCCATTCTTGGAGATTTTGGGCGTGGAGCCTGGAGAGAGCAGGATTTGGGGAAAAGAGACCTCAGTGGGGTATAATTAGGGTTGGCAACTCCGGGTTGGAGATTTCGGGGGTGGAGCCTGAGGAGGGCGGGGCTTGGGGAGGGGGAGGGCTCCAGTGGGGCCTGATGCCGTAGAGTCCACCTTCCAAAGTGGCTGTTTTCTCCAGGTGAATCTATTGTTATTATTTATCCAATTTGTACCCCGCCCTCACCAGAAACAGGCTCAGGGCGGCTTACATTGGTTGGTACACAAATAACCATTAAAATCCATATAAAACATTTGAAGAATTCAGTTACAAATAGACGTGTAAAATCCTAAAATCATAAAGTGCTGGGCATATTTCATTCGATACTTCAGATGGTGTACTGAAGAGTGCATACAGACAACAGTTTTCA